ATGAAAACAAAAAAAAAACAATACACAGAAAAACCAATACAAATACAATAACTGAATATAAAGAAAACAAAAAAAAAAAAAAAACAAAACAAAACAAAACGTAATTATTAACAGCTTACACTTATTCAATAAAAACAAATCAACAAATCAACAACATTTTCTCGGACAATTTTATTTATTTCTCAGTAAAGAACGAAAAAAAAAAAAAATACGAAAGATTTTTTTTTATAAATAAATAGATTCTGGTTGAAATGTTTTTGATAAATACCCAAATATTATTTTTATTATTTGATGCTAGGCGCACTTTTGATGACAAAAGGAATTCCTTTAAGATTTCAAGAAATTTTGGAAGACATTCGTCCTTCTCTTAAACAGAATTTTTTGATGTTTGTCGCTTATTCTGCTTTCGGTTTTACATAGACAATGTAGGGCGAATCAAAAATGGAGTTAAACGAATGACGACTTTCAACTTTTATAGCCCAAAGTGCAAACGCTATAAATGTCGAGCTAACAAAGGCTTTTTCAACAAGAGAGATCATTTCGGAAATCGTACATATGCAACGGCATGGAAAAGTAAAAAGAAAAGCTTTCGAGAAATGGATCGATACACATTTGACCAAACGCATTGAAATAAAAGAGAAAGCAAAAAAATTTGTCGGACATGGCTTGCAACGTTCGCACTGTTTTTGATCTCACACGCGGTTGCAGTTATACGAACATGACCCATTTAACGAAATCAGCCGAAAGCATCATTGCTGTAGTTGAGATAGTTGGTCAAAGGCGAGGGTTATTCATCTCGAGTTTTTGTCATGACATGGAAATATCGCAACCTAGTTTGCTCCATATTCTGCATTAAGATCACGCCCTACATAAGTTGCAGTTAACAACGCAGGAACTCAAAAAGAGCAGATCACGTACATTACGGTGTATTCGTTGGTTGGAGGATGGAAATGCATGAACAAAATAATGACATTTTAAATAAAATTATGAGGAATAATGAAACTCATTTCACATTACATTACATACATAGTAATACTCGCACATCTCTCTCTCTCTTTCTTTCATTCTCTCGTTTCTTTTTTACTCTCTCTCTCTCTCTCTCTCTCTCTTTCATTCTCTCTCTTCTTTCTCTCTCTCTCTCTCTCTCTCTCTCTCTCTTTCCCTCTCTCAGTCGCCTAAAAAGGTTGAACACATCCTCCACAATGATATCGAGTACCGATCTGGCGCAGTGATTTGGTCTGCAGGTGATGTTGCGTAACTTTTTTTCGTGAAACAATATTCCCTAGATGTGGTATTTCCTCAAAAGCAACCTTAAATCGAATCTAATACCGGGAGATTTAACAAACTGCTAGAGTTTTTTTTTTGTAACACATCACTCAATAAGTCTCCTGCCTAAAACACACACACATGGCACCACTGTTGATAGACCCATACAATTTCTATTCGTTTCAATTCCGTTTAATTGTAAGCAACTTCGGAAGATGGCAAGCAAATACGAGTCTTCTCGACTAAAATTTGATACTAAGCCTTCTACTCTCCTTTATGATCTAAATTCTTTTAATTTTCACCCTTAAGACAGCTAGTCGTCGATGATCGTAGCACAACCTCTCCTATCAAGAAATAAAACGAAGCTAACGATAAGTCCTACACGACCTCATGCTTAGTGTACACAATACACAGACGGATTGAGAGAATCAGATCTAGTCTGTATTATAAGCTAAACAACCAATTAAAGAATAACTGCCTTATGGAACTTTTCATTCTTATTTCTAAGTGTTACTAGTTCTAGTGAATGGAAAAGTAAATTTAGTTTATCCTGACAGCAAGCAGATAGATGTACGCGTCCAGAAATTGAAGTCCACCTTGATTTAGATACTAAACAATAGTATAACTACAGCTACTATTAGATGTCACGAACGGAAAGAGAAATGTGTTTGCACATTAGTTGATAGCAAGGTTCGCACGAAAATTCTTTCGTACTATGCTATCTGCAGCTAATTTTACTTGTCAGCTGAAGGTAAGCAAGTAAAATACGTCATATGGTGTTATATTATTTAGCGGATCTTGTATGAGATATAAGAGAACTACTTTCCACGTGCAGTCAATAAAGAGCATTTAAGACGTTGTATTTGGCATAAATTACAGAACGGAAGCAACCCATCAGCTGTTCGTGAAAGCTTATATGACACGTTGGGAAATCAAGTTGTAAATGTTCATTCCTGATAAAGATGGTTTGCCAAATTTCGTTCCGGAAATTTCAGTCACAAAGAAAATCATCAATACGCATCCAATATCGAATATCGAATATCTTCAAATTAATACAACAAAATCTACGGAGCGTATAACAACTACTCATTTAAGTTAAGCATTAAAACAAAGAAAGTTAAAGGAAAATCTCATGGGAGAAATTTCTACTACTTGTAGAATGAGTGATCTTTTTATTCATTCCGTTCAGAGTTACAAATCGTTACTACTACGTTTCGTTAATACTATTAAAATTTATAGGGTGCATTTGAATTATTTGTCAGCATGTTACTTACAGTTTAACAAATTTATTATGTCTTTATGTTCTGATGGAAGGTGGATGGAAATAAACTGAAAAATATTCTCAGGTAAATGCATTCATTCTCTCACTCAAGGTTGTACAAATCTGTATTCTCACATTATCCAGTACCAAAACGTTTAGAAACTTTTTCTCTCTATCCAGTATATATAGTTTTTCTCAATATTTATCTCTCTTTTTCGTTTATTTATTACTCTCTGTATAGTAATAATACAAAAATTCAATTGATAACATGACATACCGGATTGTATAGACAGAAGAAAACAACCACTAAGGAAGGCTTTAGTAAGCAATAAGAGTCGCTAACCAAAAATACTATACAGTAACTATATATATATATATATATATATATATATTTAAATGAATATATAAATGAATGTAGAATAAACGCAAAAAGAAAAACTTATTCATTTGAGAGAACAGAACAATAATCAAATAGATTTTTTCTTAAAGCTTTTTCCAAAAAGAAAAAATGAAATAAAAACAACCTCATATAATAATAATTGTGGTGTATGTAGCTTTCATTTGATGGAACATGAGCTGCATATGATTAGTTGTTAATACACTGCCAAACCGGTCAATATACATATCTGTGAGGCAAATATTACGCGACGACGTATTTCCAAGTCTTACACAAAACTGTAGCTTATAATAAAAGGAAAAGAGAAGGTAAACCTTAACATATATATATATATACATATATGTGAGTGAATAAAACTAATTAAGAACGTGATATCTATTGTTTCCAACTACCTGGGCCTATGTCTGCGTAAAATAAACCACAAAAGATTTCGGTATTTTCTCTTTCAATTAATGCTTCTAAACTGTGTGTGAAAAACCAAAAACAAAAAAAATAGTGTTAAACTAAAAAAAAAAAAAAATATATATAATAAAAATGCTCCAGTTAAGTTACGAAATCATTACTAAAATTATGTAACAAATATTCATTAACGATGAACGATAACGTTGTGCGAGCACAAACAGTAAGCAAGAAAAAAAAAAAAAAAAAACGTAGAACCCTCTCTTCTAGCGTACGTACGTATACAACGTACACAGACAAACCCCCTTTAATTTAAATTAAAGAATAAATAGAATGAAATTACAAAAACAAATTCAACTACAAGTTAAAACATTTGACATTGCTCTTGAAACCCAATAACACGCATAAAATTATTTGGAAAAATTTGTTGTGACCATAAGAAAGACCTAAATATCTGATACATACATACATACATTTATATTTATATTTACATACTTTTTTTTAATTGATTAAAAGTGAAAGACATATCGGTATAAGTATTGTGGGCATAATAATAATAATGAGCGCATTTACGTACCAACCAACGAACACATTTGCAAACTTTCTGCGATGTTTGATAGCGAGAAAGAGAGCAAATTAAACGCTTGCTTGTGCTTGCAAGTGTTTTCATTAAAATTAACATATTAATAAACAAATTCTTGTTTTTTTTTTTTTTTTTTTTTTTTTTGTTTAATAAGCAAGAACACACCGTATAACAAAAATTTGCACAATCAGTTATTAAGCAAGATTTTAAATACATTTTAATTTATAGTCAAGAAATATTTTAAAAAATATATCCATTAGTTACTGAATAATTGAAGATCTTGTACGAATTGAAAAAATAAATAATATATGTATAAGTATATACGCGTGTTTGTGTATGTGTATATGCATATAATATAAGCCCACGATCAATTTGACTTGTACTTTGATTCTCTATCAATGGCAAACTAAAGTATTATATATAAAAATCTATACATCTGCCCCTCACTCTTCACGCCATACTTTCTAAACGTTTTCAATCCTATTGGATTTGTAAAGTAAATAAACGAAGCGAAAAAAAAAAAAGTATTTTTCGAAAAGCAAAGAAAAAAGGAACTTTAAGAAGAAAAGATCATTTGTTCCCCTCGTACACGCAAACTTTTTTTTACTTTACTTTACTTTACTTTACGTCGTTTTAATTCAATATTTGCGTAACATCTAACAAAACCTTATATCAATAATTATTTCATTATTTCTTCCAATTTCTATTCAGTATATCGTTGTATGATAGAATTTACTTTTTTTTAAAAATTTATCAAATTATTATTATATTGTATTAATGAAGAAGGTATATTCATTCTAGTTTATCTAAATCAGAGGTAAATTGTGTTCGCTTTGGAAGAAACGTACAAAGGCCATGTGAAAAGTGCTTTGAAAAAAAAAAGAAGAAAATCCCTTTTTATACATGGCCATGATATAGACACGAATAGTGCAGGTCCCAAAAAATTAGTTTTTAATGTGCGTTACTGTACGATGATCATGACATTACGATTGGTTTTTTCTATCTTTCTTTGTCCGTCTGTCCATCCGACCATTTTTCATTTATAAAATCGAAAAAAATCTGAGATAGAAACCTTAAAATCCATTAAAAAGGTATAAAACTAACTAGCTTTACGCCGATATAGGAATTATCAAAAAAATAAATGATACGCCCCTTTTTTTTAACCTCTTTTTTATGTGTGAAATTTTGAAAAAATTCAACTTTAACTCATCCATCTGTTCGTCCATCCCCTTGTTCGCTGCTACATAAATTGAAAAGAAAACCTCAGATTAAACTTTTTACGATCTTCATCAAGTCCCCAAAATTAAATTTATAAATGAATGGATTTAAGCTTTTAAAAGTCAAAATAACTAATGTGGCTTTTGTATTAAAAAAAGAACATGTTTTTAAAAAATTCAACCACTGGGACTTAGCCTTGACAATTTCGATTAGATCTCACATATCAAGTTTGAAAATGAAAACAAAAAAAAAAAAAAGAAAGAGCTCGGGATAATCAAAAAACAGTAAAAGTTAAAACAATCTCATGCCCTTTCGTTTCAGACGCTCAAACAGTTCGGGTGAAAAACTTACACTTGGTATATCAATGCAGGGAAGGATAAAAGTTAATCCGAAGCCATCTCGGCAACTCGTCGATTCGACGAAAAACGACCAGATTTTTTTTACATTTCTTGTATGTATCTAGTCCAATCGGAAATGTTCTTCGGCAGCCATGTTTTAACTGACAAAAGGTTGCGTCTATCACTTTTTTACACCCAACACATATTTTGATATTTGCGCACATTTGCGACATCCAGAGGGCTTTAAATTGACTCACTCACCTTTCATTACACCAATCGATTCAAAACCATTTTCTGGATCGATCTAAGCTTGCCTGTCCATCTGTCTTCATTGCGTTCAACCTACAGTACATAATTTTTTAGAAATATTTTAATAACATTTGGTACATGATACGCTTTCGCCTAAGAACGAAAGCTATTAAAAATGATTCGGTTCGGATCGCTTTTTCGCCTGATTTTGAAACGCCAATATATGGATAACGGCAAGTGATGTATGGTATTTAGGAAGATTTTAAAGATTCAAAGCTTGCAAATACGAACCAAGAGAAAGAGAAGAATTCCATCTTTCTTAAGACAAATACGTCAAAAACAGTAAATCCTCGAATCTCTTTGGGTTGTTGGTAAATATGTATGGAAGCTTGTAATGATCTTGTCGCCAAATTATTGTCTACTATTTGGTGAAGTGAGCAACGCTATAGTCATATTATTTCAGGCACAACTATACATTAGGGAAGCTTATAACGACAATTAATTCCTGGCTGTCAAATTATCCCATGGCCTAACACTTCAAACTGATCGGGTGGCTTCAAGAATTCCAAGTATTATTTGAAAACAGTTATACCATGTCGTTAACGATATATAAATTTTTTTAAGATTCTAACACGCCTTGCTAACCAAAAAAAAAAAACATGCGATTACCGGTTGACTTATTATCATTGCGAGAATACATGAACGGGACCACTTTGCAGACAACTGGAGAAGAATCTAGTCGACAAATCCACCTGATATTTTCACATATATTAGAGAAGAAAATATTATAGGGATTTTGCAGCAGCAACCATAGGAGCCGTAAAAAAAAACTTTTAAAGCACATCACACACACACATTTAGAGCATTTTCCGATTTAAAAATTCAAATTATAATTTAACGGCTTTGATTAATTGTATAAGAACTGAATCAAATAGTTTATTCAACACAGACACCTATATATACCTATATAATATGAATTATAATTAGTAGTTTTAAAAACACTGTGCTTTGGCAATTACTATAGTTATCTCATAGCACTTTTTTATCTCTTATTATAAAGTGTTTTTTTCCTTCCTTTTATTTTTTTTTTTTAGATTAAAAAACTTAGTAAATCTATTCGCAATAATTACGGAAGGCAACAGTAGTTAAATCAATTTCAATAACCGCAATGTCTTCTCTACCGAAAGTGGATATCGATCAACCGCTATATGATCAAAGCACTTATCTGAATCGGGCTAAACATTTCTTACTACTCACTAATCCTTTAAATTTGTTGGCTTCCAATGCGGAATTGGAAAGAGCTAAACGTATTGTACAGGATTACCGTGCCGGTCAACCAGTCGATGTTAAAACTATTGAAGAGTTGTACCGTTACAAATACATATACGATTCTGCGTTTCATCCAGAGACTGGTGAAAAATCGATTATAATTGGACGTATGTCGGCTCAAGTACCGATGAATACTCTAATAACGGGATGTAAGTGAAATTAAAAAAAAAAAAAGAAAAAAAAAGAAAACAATTAATATTTCTTAACTTAGCAACTAAGTGCAATGACCGAATAAATTGCTTCCGATTGCGATTAACATTTCTTTTAATTACATATTCATAGGTATGCTGTCATTTTATAAAACAACACCGGCTGTCGTCTTTTGGCAATGGGTGAATCAGACATTTAATGCGATAGTAAATTATACAAATCGTTCTGGTGCTACTCCTATACCTACCCAGTAAGTGAATTATTTTTAAAGTTGTCTCAAAATCTTCTAAAGTTTCTTTAACATTGTTTCATAAAGACAACTAGTAACGTCTTACGTCTTAGCTACTGGTGGTGCTTTAACAACAGCCTTATCACTAAACAGACTAGTAAAGGTAAGTAATTATTTACATAGTTATAATGAGAGTTTATGTTAAAGGCGATAATGAAAATCGCATACATCTGAGAAGAAGGAGAAGTTCCTTCAAATCGTGAATTGTTTGCTTTTCGAGATTAAGCAGTTATCAAATATTGACCTAAGAGAAATGCAATAAGCACTTGCAACATTTCAAGAAAGATCGGAATTTCTAAAATGAATTTTCGACAACCGCGTCCCACTCGTGCTTTAAATTCTCCCGCAGTTTGGAATGAAGTGTTCTAAAGACTCCATGCTTAATGTGTAAATAACTTCTAACTTACGAAGCCCCGAATGCATCAGAAAGACATCGGCAAGCAACCGCAAGATTATCGCTACAAAATTTTCGCATAGAATCTATAATTTCACTAATGAATTAAAGTTTCTTTTAGAATTTACATCCTCTAATCGGCCGCTTTGTACCGCTGGCTGCCGTGGCCGCTGCCAATATGATTAATGTACCTATGATGCGTTTACAGTAAGTTTTGATTTTCCTTTTTCCTATTTTAGCAAAATTATTTGTCGCCGCTATTTAAAAAAATCAGACAAAAATATTTTACACAAATTCCTTATCGTCATAATAATGCAAATAGAGAGATTAAATTAAGCTACCACTATTCTATAATAATAATCGCCCTATTCATTGATATTCAAAAATAAATCGTGGCATATTTTCAGGCAGTTGAATTAACAGTAAATTCTCTTTCTGCTCGTACGACATATTTATGATCTGGAATATTACGGATATTGTCATATATAACTACCTATATGTATATATTTATATAAAACTCTTAGATATTTGCATATATACACTTTTGTTTCTTCCTATATATATACATTGTTTATATACATGTAAACATTGTTATACGCCCTCAGACCCTTATATTCACTGTATTTTCATTCATCTTACAAGCTAAGATTTTTAATCTAAAATCATAGGCCTTGAACAGAAACAGTGGATGAACGGGATATACATGTCCTTCGACTGGCAATACTCAGAGCTACAAACCAAAAACAAATTAAGAAAGGGCTATTCTCTTGTCGTCTGTTGAAGCTATAGCAACAATTGAGTTAGAAAGCTGAACTTGATTACAAAAATAGATACGTTTTAAAAATGGACATGGTCTACCTAAAAACTTCTAGGTTATTTGTTATAAGTCTATTAATTGTTTTTATTTGTTATATTATTTCTATTATACAATTTAATTTTGTTGCAGAGAGCTTAAAAATGGTGTGGTGTTATTGGATGAAAATAATAATGAAATGGGTGTGTCAAAAAAAGCGGCCATTTTTGGAATTTCAGCAGTTGTAGCATCTCGAATTGCCATGGCTACCCCCGGAATGAGTAAATTTACAATCATTGTCTCTATTTGCAAAAATGCTTAACGTTTTCTCTTTCCTTTCGCAGCTCTAACGCCAGTTTTAATTAACAAACTGGAAGCTGGTGGTTTCTTAAAACGTTTCCCTAAAGCTAGCGCCCCCATACAAACACTATTTTGCGGTTTTGTACTAATATTTGCAACACCTTTAGGTTGCGCTTTCTTCAGTCAGCGGGCGGCCGTAGAAGTATATTTTATTTGTTTAAATATTTTATAAAAATTTATTAACAAAAAAAAAATATATATTTTAGGTAAAAAGTTTAGAACCTGAAGTTCAGACGGCAATCAAAGAAAAGAATCCGGATCTTAAAACGGTTTGGTTTAACAAAGGCTTGTAAATCATGAATGAAGACAGGAGGAACAAAAAGACAAAGCGCACATCCACTGACAAAATACTCACTCAGCTTTATAAAGTGAGCTTATTATCAAGAAACAAATATATTTAGTAACAATTTTTTTGACAATAATGTACTTTAAGCGCTTTCGTTAAGCATATAGTTATTGATTAGCAATAATTTTTGGCAATTAGACATATATTTTGCATTTATATCCACATTTATTATATTATAGATGTGCTTGTGTATATATGTATCTTTATGTCAAACAAAGTTACATTAAACACAACTACCAACCAAAAAAAAATAATAATAATAAAATATGATTGAATTTTATTATTGAAATATAATAATAATTAAAAAAATTATTATCAATTTTATGTTTTAAAATTATCGCAGACTTTAAAAGCGTGTTCCTTTTTTTTGGCGCAATATGATCACATAAATATAAAAGAATAATGAATGCAATAATCCGTGTCTTTCACAAATAAAAATATATATAGTAAAATTCGAGATGTATGCGGGAAAAAGTATTTCATGTAAATATGTTTATTTAAACGAAGGTGTAAAGCAAAGCTAATAACCAAAATTTTTTTAATCTCTAACGGAAACAAGTATTAAAGTAAACTAACAAAAATGGCGGTTTAAAGACTCTGTGTAGAAAACTGGAAACTAGGCAGCACTGTAAACAAAAGCCAATCATCGAAAAGCTATAAATATGGCAATACGTTTTACATTTTTTTCTTATTAATTTTAAAAGAACTGTCAAAATTCCATTACGAAAAAATTCACTCACGTTTTATTAAAGGCAGAGGTTTTAAGAATTTAATTCGCATGCAAAAAAGGAAAAGCTGAAATTTCAAATAGCTATAACTTTCGAAATTATTTGATACGTTTAAAAAGATTGTTTGTATTAAAAAATTATAAATAAAGTCAAAACAACGCAAGCCGTGTTTGCCAAGGCCGTCGTCTTGTGTTTATTTGGAAAATTGTGCGTGTGAGACCGACTTTTGAGGCCATTTTTAGTAAATTTTAATTTGCAACAGCAGCAGCGTTAACTTTGATAAAAACTAAAAAGCGATTGCTCGCCTTATAAAATTCCTTAGCCACTAATTCATCATCTGGATATGATTGTTGTGTTCGCTGTCGAGAGTCAATGACGCTGAAAATTCTGCTATTATTGTAAACATCAAAGCCAAGAAAATTGAAACAAGTTTATCAGAAACATACTAAGTGGTAGTTTCCGCCATCCGCGTTCGTAAGGGCGATTCTTATGAATTTTTGTACATTTTACGGGGGAGAGAACGAACACGCCGCCGTCTTAGCCGCATAAAAACTGACATTTGCCAAACTTATTTAGCTAGGTTAGCTGGCAAAACAAACTAGCAAAAGTTGCGAAAGTCAAACGAAAAAAAGAAAAATTTAGTATTCAGGGGCAGAAGCGGCTGAACGGCAGCTGCATTTTGTCACCTCACCCTAAATAAACATCTCTAATTATCTGCCTTATCAATGAATTCGTATAATTCGTATAATAGTTGAACGATAACTACAAAGAGAAATTAAATCCAGTGATATTTTTTTTTTTTTTACATGTATATTTTATTTTGTGTTTTCACTAATTGTGAAAGATTGAAATTGAAAAAACGCGTAACTCATTCGAAATTCTTAAACGTTCAATCAATTGCAACAGCTTGTTGTTTAGTGAAACATTCTTTCTCTTGAAATTTTTTTGTAATAATCAACATGAATATCGATGATTACGAATCATTGCCTACTACCAGTGTAGCCATTAATATGACGGCCGGTGCTATCGCCGGTGTATTGGAGCACATTGTTATGTATCCTATGGATTCGGTTAAGGTGAGTGAAAGCGCTTTTTTCCTGTCCTAAAATAAAGACTATTATCTAACCTAACCAAGAAACATGCGTTCATGATGTAATTTTGTGTCGAGTGTTGATTTAAAAAAGAAGGAAAAGAAAACACATGAAATGAAAAGTCAAACATATCTCATACGAGTGTCATGTCATTTCAATAATTTTATTTTTACTTTCTTCCTAGGGCAGTAAAGAATGGAAAATGAAGATGGTGGGGAAAACGTTCTTTATGCTCATCATTAAACTAAGATGTGTAGCGATTCTAATTATTATTAGTAATTCTGTTGAACACAGCTGTAATACGCTTCAATCAGCTGTTTGGCTGCCTAATCAGATATTAGGATTTTCTCTTATCAGCAAAAACACTTTAGGCTGACGTTATTTTTGTGACAATTATATGGCGTTTACTTTGTTATTGCATTTACAAAAAAAAAAAAAAAAAAATTATTTTTATAATTATTTTTTAATTGCCGCGTTCTTAATCAATATGTTCCAAATTAGCCAAACATTGTTTATTGTTTTCAAAAACCTCTTGATAAGAGTTATTTTTAAAATACCTCGTTAAAAAGGTTTTTTTCTTATTTTAATTTCTAACTACGTGTGACAAAGGCATAGTAAATCAATGTCTAATCGTTCATAAAGTAAAAATGCATTTATAAGCAAAGAAAATAAAACAATCTAAAGAAAGCGTAAACATGAACCCATTTTATAGTATGGAGGGAGCTTTTAATAGGGCTAAGCCATATAAAAATAAATTATAAAATATTAGAATTCAGCACACTTAGAAGCAATTAAAAACTATGTAATTCTTTCGGGACGTAGGAGGAAAATATCTTGCTGATCAGTCGTCAATACAAGGGATCTAGCCTGAGCGGAACAATAGTTTTCTTTGTTGGGTGTGTGTTTTTTGTTTCTCAATGAGTTTCGCCTCGAGGGTGGCAGGTAGCGCGTATCGATTTGAAATCTTCTATATAAGTAATATGAGACCTGTGACGCTCTATTATCATTAATTGCACATAAATTTTAATTAATTGCAATAAATGTCGTCGTTAGTTATTATTAGAATATCTGTGTGGAGAGTTGTTTTAATTAAACAAGTTTTTATGATCTTTATCACGTTTTCATTACTATCATCATTTCATTTGTCACTCTCTGCAGCAACTGCGGACCTTAAATGAACGAACGCAACAGACTTGAGCCATTTATATATACAAGACTGCTTCAGATGGCGAGCTCTTGATATTTGATTACGATATGAGCTTATTATTACGCCAATTATGTGCAAGAGGATCTCGGAAGATGGTTTACAAACGAAGGCAAACCCAGGACTGACACAACTCAACGTAGTACGTTGTGCTTGGGGAAAGTAATGAGGTGGCAAGGGCGCTGTTCCGACTTGGCCGAATTCGGTGAAATTCTAGAAAGTTCTCAGTTTATTGACTGGACCTCGCCTCTCTTATGGTTACTATTTGCTTCACTTTCTGCAGAACTGTCTTAATAATATAAAGCTACTCTCAGGAGAGATCTACGAAAAAGACTTAGTTCAGCTTTTCGCTCAGAAATCGTAAAAGCGCTATAGCAATGACAAAATTATTTGACCAGGAAAATGGTAGACAGACGATTGTCAGTTGAAATGGCCACGAGCTTAATTTCTTATATAATATATAATGTACTCATATATATTGCTCTTATAATAATATACACATATACTGCCTATGTAAATATAGCCGTTAAATTGCATAGTGTTTACTTTTTAAATAACATAGGACAGACAATCATTATATTTCTATTGAAATTGAAATTAAAATTAAAATGAACAGACAGGCGATGTCGTATATTTTAACATGACGCGTCTTTTTTTTTTTTCATTAATTATTATATATAGAAAACAAAATGAAAATTTTAATTCGCTTAAAAACGAATGCTAAACACCCATCATCTGGACTTTAATGCAGGAGGATTGCTCAATATTTTCCTTGATTATGGGGTGTGTACAGACCTTAGGGCCTTAGCTTGTTCGAATGGTGCTTTGTACGCATCTCATTGGCTTTATGATTCACTGTTAGAGATTGTTTATCGTATCTACTCTGTACTTGTCAGCGGTGGGTAAAAATTTTAAATTTGATCAAAAATATTTCAATCTTCTAAAACAAAGTACAGTTATAGCATAAACTTGACTTGACAAGAAGGTGTCTGTCTACACGTTCCTTTCGACTGAAAAGAAAAGCAATTTGAGCCTTTCGTTCTAAAAAAAAAATAATAATAATACAAAAATTAGCTTTAATATCTATCGCGAATTGTTTTTAATGCATTAAGTTGCCGTGTAGGGAGAATGGTCTACACTTATCTTATTGGTTTTGCATAATATATAAGTAAAATTCCTATCCAGAGACTGAGACAGAGAAAGCGAGAGAGAGAGAGAGAGCGGCAGCAATTTCCTGGAAATCGTAAGAATATAAATATGATAACAATAGCGACGAGATGAGATATCTCATTTATATGAAAAGCATTTCGCATTATTTTACAACCGCTTGTTTATATTCTTATTTAAGTCATTTAATATGTGCGGTCCGCAGTAGCTATTGCTGCGCAGCCTTAATACGATAAGATTACTCCGATCACCGACCGCTTTTAAAACAATTAGCTTAAGAAGACAAAGTTACGACTGCAGTATATCCATATAAATTATATACATCTATATATACACAAAATGTACACAAACTGCTCTTTATAGAATTTCTTGAAATAACGGGAAACGTTATATTTAGCTTATTTATTCTTAAAGGAACATTGAAACGGCAAAGGAAACTACGCTGGCGGTCAGTACGAAATGTTCTTAAATACTCGACTTTTATATCCGTCTGTCCAATGTTCAAGTCGAATTCAATATTAACTATTTTAAGCGAAAAGGGCTGCCATTAAGAATTTCACTTTTAACTTTCTTTTAAACTTTTTAACAATCATAATCGGACCAACAAACGTACTAACAATTATTAATGTTACAAACGAAATAACGAAGCTAGTATGCCCCTTGATTTTGATGGTATCGATAAATATTAAATTATAATTATATTCCACACCTCATGCCATGCATGGGTAGCAAATTACTGGCCTTGTTCGTATACGATGGAGAATTTTCCTTAAACACGTGCCGCGATCGACTTGTCAACATTTTTACTTTAAATAATACTTTGTATAACAATAACTTGGCATAATACATGGAAGAAGAAAATCATTGTTTTTTTTTTTTTTTTGTAATTAAGAGTCATTTAAGGAAAAAGTAAACACTTCACTTCAAATTCCTTACCCTCATTACTAATAACATTTATTACATCAACATTGATTCTCAAGACATGTCCTCAATTCGAAGAAGAGCATACAGAGCGACTATTATTGTGCTAAGCTCTAATCCAGCCATTATTATTAGCTACTAATGCTCAGGATTCTTTTTTCCTGGTTTAGTCCAAGTATTCCTTTGCTTAGTCTAAATAAATTAATATAAGCTTGCAGAAAGAACATTCCCTGAGGAGATGAATAACATACTATACTTAACATTGTAATATTGTTTCACTTCCATAAGCCATCGTTTTGTTATCGCTAGGAACGTTCAAAAGCTATAAAGTCCCTGACGCACCTACTTATGATTTCAAACGCAGGAAAAAAAACGCCCGCATAATTTCGATATTTACGATCTACGCCACTTTTTCTATATAGTTAACTTAACGTTTTTGCGTTCAGCATCCAGAACGACATCCAAGATAGATCCACCTTTTCTTATGCTAACTGATTCAGAATTCTTTTCTGAAACAATTTAAGTTTTTCTCGTCCTCCGCTTGGTAGATTGCAAATTTTTGAGATGTTTTAATGGAATTTAATACATTAACCTACTCTGGTCTAAGGGCGAACTCCACTGAAAATGAAATGGTTTGGACAACCTCGGTATAGCGTTTTATTCAAAGAAATGTCGATGTAGCCCTACTATAAACATTTAATATGTTTCTTTCTTGGATAGGAGTCCAACTAAATTCTTGCTGCTCTTTGATAAAATTCAAGTGTATTTAAACTATACTGATTGCAGAGCTTAATTATTCTCTATGGTCTTTTGGTATTTATCGAGTAGTTTATGGAAGCGTCGAGTATGTGGAGACGATATCTGTCGATCCATGTTCACAACTTTTGTGAATCGCTGACCCGCTAAATATCACTACAAGGATCTGCATAATTGGCAATCGGAAAGGGCCAGACCTGGAGAATATAGCGGAACGGGTAAAAACTCTCAGTGTAAGCTGAAAGTATTTCTTTGGTTGTTTTTGCGAGAGACAAACGGACCTATTCAAACTTCCATCGTTTTCAAGACTACAATTTTTATCGGAAACTAATGTACTTTCTAACTGTTTTGCAGCTTATTGCATTTTCGTTCCAAGCCAACTTAGTCATACATAGTATGTATTTTAGCAGTATTTTTTTTTCAGATTAATCCACCTAGAAATACAGAGAAACGTAGATCCATAAATAACACAAATTCCTTTTAAAATTTTTATATACAATGAACGACAGTAAATAATTAAAATTTACGTCGTTTAAACATCAATCATCATCATAAGTTATCTATACCTCCGTACATATCCGATTTGTAACATTTTTCGTGATGCGCTCAGACACATTCGCTTAGCTTAGCTATAAAAGCACTTACCTCACGAAGCCAATTTGGATAGATCTAATCAAATTTTAACAGATTTGGAAAAGCTTATAATGTTTTATAACTGAAAGGTGGACTATAATAAACCAAAAGAGATTGGCAGCACATCTTATGAAAATAAATCCCTTTTAGGAGAATATTCTCTAAGAGTAATGCGTTAGTGTTTTCAATATTACACCACAAAGCAAAATGGGATTGGAATAACATTTGGTCGATATCAGGCGGGTTGCAAGCTTTCCAACAACTTCTATAAAACAAAGCCTACATCTGGGATCATATAGACAAAATCACGGAACCCCGCCGTCATATGGAAGAAGAAAAAATAAGAAAGCAATGATCTCCGTCTTCATATTCAATTTTACAAAAGGGATTAATTTCGTAGCATAGATTTAGATTTAGTATGAATAATTGTCATATAATCCATATATGTTTCTACAAATTATAAATAAATAAACAAGAGTAGAAAATCATATGTAAAATATTTATAAATTACTTATCAATTACAGCGAAAATTGTTGAACAAAAAAAACCCGGTTCAAATGCTTGCAAATAATAGGAATCAACTGAATTTATTTGGCATTACAATAATAATAATGACGGCATTCATTTTCTTTCACTTTATATTGATAAGTTTAATTGAAAAAAAAGGCAACAACAAAATTTCTATTTAAATAAGAAATATAATAATAACGTTATCGTATGTAATGCTCCCGTTTAGTCACTTCAGAAAACTCTTCCTTCTATAAGTAATCATCTTCGCAAAACTACACAGTTGCTGCGAACACTGCGCATAAATTTAATCTAACCTGTAAGCTAAGCATAGGGTATAAATGTTACAAAGCATGTCCCTTCCCCTTAATCTATACGTAAAATATGGATAGCAAATTATTGAACACAACGGAAATAGTATAAATGTGTTCTTTGGAAAACACTAAGTCAACGATAATCTTCATACCCATTAATTTATACTGAGATTATTATTAGGTCAACGATCAGCGATTCCTATAGGTAAAAATAATTAAGAAATGGGTAATACCAATGTACATAACGGTTCAATTCGATGCTTTTGACCTTACTCTAGATAAAATAACGATTTTTCCATTCAATATTATTGATTTATTTAGCGTATGCGGACGCAATCATGGATTTCTCAAAATGACGTTTTCGACATTTATTTTGAATGTTCTTTGACATGAAGATATCTGCTGCCGAAATCCATCAAAAATGTTCAGAAACCTATGGTGACACTACTCCCTCACATCTCAATTATTGGTCTTGCTTTCAACGGTTTAAGGAACAGTGGTTTCAATGTCACTGATAGAAAACGGCATGGAGGACGAAAAAAGTTCGAGAGATCGAAGAACTTTCGAACACCTTAGCAGTTGACGAATCAACTGTTTCTAGATATTTACAGACGTTTGGAGAGTTCCGAAACGAGGGGAAAACGGCCATTTTGGCCACTATTTGCAAGAGCTATCCAGGATATGCTGCTACAGTTCGTATGGGAAGTCCTACCGCACCCAACGCACTTACCAGACAAGACGTCTACTGATTACCACTTGTTCAGATCGTTGCCAAAGCAATATAAGATATCGCTAATATGATATTTTGTTAAAAATATTGTAAAACGTTATAGAAAATGATCGAAACTATTTTGATTAATACAACACTCAATAACAGTAATTTTACTCGGTTGTGAATTCAAATCACAATTTCAGTAGTCTTTTAAAAAGAACGTAATGAATATTGAGGATGAAGTTTGTTTTCAATAATTTGGGTAAAGGCAGGAAACTGAAAAAGCAAATCTCACCACATCACATGATTTGTTGGCTTGTTTTCGCCATTTTTAATTCTTTATCGATTTAATTATGATTATTAACTTGTCATATAAAAAAAAAAAATCAATAGAAATCGTTATATAAAATGGGATGATTTAAATCTAAATCGATTTGCGTCAACGTTCATTACTAATACCACAAAAGCTGCCAGGTTCTTGCTACTTCCACTTTAATTTCTTACATACGTGGACATATAAATTTATGCAATAAAGGAAATTAATGAGAGTATAACGTATATACGAAATCACTTCAATTCATCCCCATAGTATATTTAACTATTTCAAGAGTCAGGTTGCAAGGAGCTTCCCATTTTCATTTGCTTATTTTTTGCGATTATGTCACGATTACCTTTTTCGTTTTATATTCGCTTTCGACGCATTAATTTGCCGAATGAGTCATAAAACAATGCACCCTTCAAAACAATGCTTGTAAGTTATTAGAAATTCGCTTTCAATAACGGGAACATCACGTGGACTACCACGTGATCAATTTATAGTCATAATAATTAATACGCTAAGCGAACATTTTAAATAATTTTATACTGAACTTCATAATTCTACCCCTGCCTCAAACAGATGCAAAAATGAAAAGACGATTGCGACACGAACTTTATTAATTAGTGTCATTTATAGTGATGGCTCTGATAAAAGTAAAGAAATATAATAAAAAGAATGGGTCAAATGGGTTGGAATTTTAGATCATAACAAGTTAACTCAACATTTTCCCTTGCGGCCAGTCCCTGTAGTACGTAAGATTATTTAACACGGGGAAGCGATAGGCAAGATGTCTGAGCTACTATAGGTTGACTTAATAAAAGAAGATAATTGCACTTATGATTCTCCAATAATAGTAATAGTAATAGTGGTAGCAGTGGCGATCGATAAAATGTCACTTTTTACATTTAGTTACCTCTGACCTCATTTAACAAAAATCCCATGCATTTTTTTTTTAGACTCGGATGCAAAGTTTATCACCGAAAACCGCCAAATACAATATAACGGCAACGTTTAAGAATATGGTAAAAAAGGAGGGTCTACTAAGGTTGGTGCTTTTTGCAAATTGTTTTGTGTCTCAATCAATATTTTTCCGCTTTCACTTTACCACAGACCCATAAGAGGTGTAACGGCCGTTGTGGCCGGGGCTGGACCTGCGCACGCTCTATACTTTGGCTCGTACGAATTATCGAAAGAGTTTATGACGAAAGTAACCAAAAATAATCACATTAATTACGGTAAATTTTTATTTAATTAAAGCAAATTAATAAAGAAAAACATGTTTTTATATAAAGCCTCCTTTTTTTTGCTATAGTTTCCTCAGGTGTGGTGGCCACTTTAATACATGATGCCGTCTCCAATCCAGCTGAAGTGATAAAGCAGCGAATGCAAATGTACAATTCACCCTATCGGTCCGTGGTCGCTTGTTTGCGTGGTGTTTATCAAACGGAAGGCCTGCGAGCCTTCTATCGTTCGTATTCTACGCAACTTGTAATGAATATACCGAATCAAACGATACACTTCTCTACCTATGAATTATTCCAGAATATGGTAAAAATTCATCTCAAAATTCTTAATTATTGAGAAATTATCTTTAATTTGAATGCGATATTTTTCAGCTCAATCAGGAGCGTAAATATAATCCTCCGGTACATGTAATAGCGGGCGGTGCGGCCGGTGCATGCGCAGCAGCTGTTACTACACCTTTGGATGTAGTGAAAACTTTATTAAATACCCAAGAAACCGGTTTAGTTAAAGGCATGATAGAGGCCATGAAAAAGGTTTTGTTATTAAAATTAATAGAGAAAATCAATATAGAGTAAAGCAAGTAATAATCGAATGATATTTTTAGATTTATATTATGGCTGGACCAAAAGGCTTCTTCAAAGGTCTGTCGGCTCGTGTCTTATATTCAATGCCAGCCACTGCCATCTGCTGGTCAACATATGAATTTTTCAAATTCTATTTATGTGGCATAGAACGCGAGCAGTACAAATCTTCAATTGTGGGCAAAAGTACACTGCAGCCGCGTGATAAAGGTTACGTTGTCCTTTCCACGACATCGAACGATGATGACTCAAAATTACCGGACACCAAAGAAACGACATCGCCACAATCACCGACATCAATACAACAGCCGCCAGTGCCATCTAGACCCATTAAAACGGTATGCGAATTGTCAACTAGTGTGACAGCGCCACCATTAAATCTTAATACCCGACACTCGGACGTTAAAAGTCCTTTTGAACGAGGATTTCCCACTACATAAACGACTCTCATGTCCTGTCACAAGCAGAGTATGTGTCAATAACTCGAACTCATTGCAATCATCATCCACATAATCCCGCTCAATCACAAACACACACACACACAAACACAAACAATTATGCATACATACACAAACCGCACAGATAGACGACAAGCATAAAAAGCAATTGCAGCGTCAGGTGTCTCGCCTGTGAGTACCAGCAGCGCCTGTTTATGCTGACATGCCACACGAAATTCTCTATGAGGATGAAGAGTGTTGTTGCTGTGTGCGTTTGTTTCTTTGAAAAACTATGGAAAAGTTTAGGAATATAAAAATCCACTTTTGTTATTTCATCTTTATATTTAATAGATCTGTTCTAATATAGGTACATATATATATATGTATGTATATATACATAGATATATAGGTCTATGTAAATAAATAATATATATATATACGAGAATGCGTATTGTAAATGTATTACGAAAATAAAATTCATTAACGCAGCGTCACTCTCGGAACATAAACCAACGTCAGTATGTCTTTTTGCCTTGGCAGCGATTTTTAATTTTTTAATCGCTTCTAACACAATATTCTTGAGTAGCGTTTCTCTCGTTTCTTCAGATCTTGGAATATTCGGGCGAAAATAATTTTCAATTTTTCAAAAAAAAAAAAGAAAGGGAAAAAGATTTTAAAAAACGCCTTATTCTCGACCCTACAACAATATGTGTACATAAATCTATTTTAATTACTTACTGTACACAATAAAGTCTTGTAAAACAAAAGTTGAAAACGAATACAATTTAAAAACTATTAACAAAACAAAAAAAAAGTATAATTTAAAGAAAATAAAAAAAAAAAAGAAAAGAAAATTAATTACTAAACACACAACTGTAATCAAATTGCAATAAGAGAGAAATAACTATTATAAAAAAATAAAAAAACAAAAAAAAAAAATCATACAATTCAGAAAATCTATTAACACCATAAATTTGCTTATATTGTTGTTATTGGTTTCATTTTCTTATAATTCAGATTTTAATTTTTGAAATAAAAAAAATAAATAAATAAATAAACAAAAACGGTATCTTTTCTTTTTTTTTTTTTTTTTTAATAAATATATTCCTTTAGCCAGGTAAAAACGGCGGATAACATAAATTGTTACACTTTACGAAATTCTTTATTAAACCTCGATATGTTTTAAGTTCGTATTAAGTTTAATCTAAATATTTAAAAACGCTGTCTAAAAATAATCAACATTTTAAATTTTAAGAAAACAAAACCACTTTGTTATCGTCAAACGACTCATTGAAATTGTAATAAAAAAAAAAAAAAAAAAAAAAA